GGGTGGAGGTTTTTCTGAGGGGGGGGACCAGGGGCGGGAGCCGCTACCGGAGGTCGGTTACGAGAGTCCGCAGGGCTGAGCTAGCAGCGGACGCACCCCCCCCAGGACGTACGGACCCAGGCTTAGCCCAGGAGGCCATCGCAGTAAGGCTGTTAAGGCGAAGGGTGGTGGCTCTCCCCATCACGGGGACAAACGACAATAGGGCCGCTGGGGAATATGCACCAAGGGCAGGGCCCATACCCCAGCGTGGAGGTCGGTTACGAGAGTCCGCAGGGCTGAGCTAGCAGCGGACGCACCCCCCCCAGGACGTACGGACCCAGGCTTAGCCCAGGAGGCCATCGCAGTAAGGCTGTTAAGGCGAAGGGTGGTGGCTCTCCCCATCACGGGGACAAACGACAATAGGGCCGCTGGGGAATATGCACCAAGGGCAGGGCCCATACCCCAGCGTCTGGCCTTCCTCCCTAGGCAGAGCCGTGGCAAGGCGGCCAACTGCACACACACACACACACACACACACACACACACACACACACGCACACACACACACGCAAGGGCAGAGTGTGGCCAGCTGCAGGGGGCAGATCTCACACAGACAACAGGCATTTCAACACACTGCGCAGCATCTTATTGCAGACGGGACGCTGCTCGCGTCCAGTGGAAGACGCTATCTCGTGACCCTGGCTAGTGGGTCACCCCAGGGCTGAAGTCTAGATCAGACAGATTCTATACCGGAAAGGGCAAGTGCAGGGCTAGTACAGATCATGGGACATGCAGCAGTCTCCTAGGCCATCTACACAGAGCGTGGGACATGCCACACAGAGCACCTCTGCAGGTACCTCCCATCAGACGCTGCCCATGTAGAAAGGAAGGCGGGAAGCGTTCAACATATAAACCGCACTGTGCCCAGACAGCGTTTGGAAGTCAGACCCACCCTGCCGGACCCCAGACTCACACCAGCTGAACTCCATTTACGCCACTGCGGTTACTCCGGGGTCAGCTGGGGACGGTGGAGCTCACACGTTGGCCCTGTGCTAGGCAGGCACACGGGGGGGGGGGGGGTGGTTTCTATCACGTCCACCATGTGTCTGATCCGTCTCTCCCCGAACGGGTCTGTCTGAGGCCCCTGGCTGTCCGAGAGCAGGGGAGACAGCTGCCGCCAGGGGACACGGACATACACAGGCGTGGGCGGCAGCGCGACGGTGGCTGCGCTCTAGTTACAGAAATAGAGAGAAACATTTGAATGCTAAAAAAATAGTGATCTAGGTGTGCCAGCTATTGCCAGCTTCCCCCCGGCTGGGCGCTCGCTGCGCCAACCTGGCCTCCTCCATGGGCGCAGGGGAAGAGGAGGGATGCAATTGCCCCCTGCCTTTGTGGGACAATCTGCGTGACTGGGGGGATGGGAAAAGGGTACCTCTTCCTGGAAGGCTGTGTTGGTGCTTGGGAAGGGGGGCTCACTGGGCCAGGTGGCTAAAGTAGGCGCTGGCTTCCAGGAGCAAGGCTTTGGCATAAACCCGGAGGGTGTAGAAGAGGGTGACAAGGTCCTGAGTGCTGAAGACGGTGTCGGCCAAGCTGAACAGCAGGGCGGAGGGGATGACGCCACGGCCGTACTCCACCATCCAGGTGCCGGCACTCCACTGGACAGCCGTGGCCTCGCCGGACGGGTGCGCTATGGTGTCCCCTGCGGGCAGACAAACACAGCACCGGCCGTTATTCCGAAAGCCGGGACAATGCTGGACCCAGAGCGCCGCTCCCGGGGTGACTCCAGAGACAGCCCAGAGCTCTTCATGGGCCTGATCCTGCCGCACGCTTGGCACCCTCCTCTCCCAGCCCAGGACACGAGGCTGGTGGGGCACTCAGCACCCACTGCAGAACTGCCAGCCCGGGAGTGCGGCAGCCTGGCCAGCAGCTGCCCTGTATCAGCTGCTTCCCTGGAAGCTGAAGAGATATCCCTCGGTGGAGAATCATGGACCAGCCTTCCCACAGGGGCAGTTTCCTCTAAAAATAAAGCCTGTTCCGAAAGATCCCTTATTCCTTATTTTAAGAGGGATAAGGGATCTTTCGGAAAAGGCTTTATTTTCCGAAAGATCCGCGTCTAGACTGGCGCTTTTTTCCAGCAAAGCTCCGAGCCGGAAAAAAGTGGCAGCCATGTTTATGCAAATGAAGCAGGGGGGATTTAAATCCCCGCTTCATTTGCAATTGCGATGTGTCTAATTTGCATCCCTTTTACGGAATAGGGATGCAGTCTGGACACAGCCCTGGAGTCCCTGTTTGGTACTGCCGGATAGAAAGCCTGGCAGTGGCCACAGCTAACTATTGCTCTGCAGCCGGAAATCTCTGCCCTTCGCTTCTGCTCGGCCGTTTTGCTAGCGAACGAGCCACGTAATCCCAACGAGCGGGATGTAAAAACGGGAATGGGAGTTCCACAGACACTTCAGCGCGTGGAGCCTCGCACGTTGCCCTGCAGACAGCTGGCCAGCCGCTGCACGTTTGCAGCTGTCCACACGAGAACGCCTCTAGACCCAGGCTAAATACGGTCAGACGGCCCTGTCTCCACGGATGTATTTCCCGACGCCCCCATGCACAAAGTTACCAAGAGCTCTGGGTTACAAGAACCCGGATTACAGCACCTGGATAATAGATTTCACTTCTGGTCGTCCCTTCCTTCCACTGCCGGAATGTTCCCGAGATGATGGTGTCGGAGATATCCACCCAGTAGCGACCTGCAAGAGAGGCACCCGGCGTGAGATCTCAGCAACGGGGGAAGACAGCCCCCGGCTGGGGGGGGGGGGGGGGGGGCGGGCGAGGAATTCCTGCCGCCTACAACTTGGAGCTGGCTGCTTGTTGTGTTCCCATGGGCTGTGCCAAGGACAGCAGCCTGCCCACCTGCCACCTGCCTCTCCTCCATGACAGTGATCTCTGGAGCCTGTGCTTTTCCCCACGCATCTTGGCTTCACTGCTCAGCACCTAACATGCGCTGGAGTCAAGTACCCACGGGGAGGAGAACTCAGACAAGACAGGATC